TATCACATCATAATAGATAGAGCCCAAACTATAACCTCATGCTAAATATCCCCGAAAAAATAATTCGCATCCTAAATCTCTCCGAATTCAAAGTTCGAAACTTATATCTCCCCGAAATCATAGTTCGAAATCTCATCACCCATTAATTTCGGTTTATTGTTTACCAAACAATTATTAACCACCTAAATACTATAGTAAACCGGATGTAAACCAATTACAACAACAAAATCTCTTAACCAAACCAATTTCTTTTTGGTTCACCATATTTTCTTCGGAGCTTGGCCGGAGCGACAACGCCTCCTTTTACCGTGGGATTTTGGCCGGCCACTCTCATTTGATTTCCTCCTCTGATTCTGATTCACTTTTTGATTGTTGAGATTTTGGTGACGATGAGATTCATATCTCGATGGAATTTTTACCATTTGATTCAACTCAATTCAAAGATTAGATTTCTCAATATTACAATTGCAAAATCTAATGTTTAAATTTGGTTAAACTGTAGTGCTATTCTCAAACAGCGATTCATGAAAGCTTTACAAATTATGGTGTGAATGTTTTATCTAACAAAATCTAATCTTTGAATTGAGTTTTTATAAAAGCTTTGCACTCTGCAATTTGTGTCAACTTGCACTTCTCTGCAATTGTGTTTTCAAGAGCAAAATCTAATCTTTGGATTAGACAAATTTAGAATCAAGCAATTTTTTAATTCTTTTTTCTTTTGGATTCGCACTTCTTCTACAATCTGTGACATCACCCAAAACAAAATCGATTCACTTTACATGAGAGCTTGATACTCAAAATCAAGAACAATTAACGACAATAATGAGAAACCCATCTACAATTTGGCCTTCACGAAACTCAAACTCTGATTTGGCCATTGCGGTTGATGTTTGCTTGGACTTGAAGACGGCGGTAGCTTGGCTCCGGTGACGAAGGCGACCATGAGCAAATCATCTCTCCTTAACAGAGAGAGAGAATTCAGATTCATTTAAGAAGTCGTCGGCTGTTATTTGAACCTGTTGAGATGGAGATTTAGGGATCCGGTTTTTAGGATTAGGGATGATGCGAGACGATCTTGATGGCGTGACAGTGGTTTCTCTTCGTCTTCTCCGGTCACAATTCCGATGTTGGTGACGTAACAAGGTTACAATTTCGGGTTTGCTTGGTTTGAGGTGGGTTTGATATCGGTTTAAGTCATAAACCAGTCAAACCAATATATATGGGTTTTGCGATTTCGAACTTTGAATTCGGAGAGATTTAGGATGCGAAGTATTTTTTCATGGATATTTAGCACGAGGTTATAGTTTGGGCTCTATCTATTATGATGTGATAGTTTTTGTGGGGAAATAGACCGTTTTCCCTATAAACATGTATCAAGTTTTCCTATATATTTTCTAGTGAACATATCTTATAAATGAACCAAACGAATCGAGCATCACACTAAGAGCATGTGGTTAGACTAAGGTCGACATAGAAACAAATAAATTAGTTTTGCAGCAGATATATATTGTTAACTGATGATTTTTCTGAATAATAATAAAAGTTGTATTAAATGGATGACATAGTCACATTCACATAGGGCCGCAAAAGTTGAATGACATGCTTCTCGAGTTATCGTATTATATGAGCATGTGGAGTGTCTGTGATATAATTGTTACACAAGTTCTATGTTCCATGTGAATTATTATAAAGTTTAAGGCTCCCAAGGTGATTTTAGAGTAGTTCTGTTTTACTGTTTACAATAATTGAAAGTCACTATTCCAAACACTCCCAAAAAAAAAAAACTCAAATTGGCTTTTGTTGACTACAACGTGATATTTAGAAACTAAAAAGTAAGAGACATTTATAGTTTTAGATGGCTATACAACTACAAATACATTAATCTAACTAATTTTAACCAATAAATTTGTTTCGGTCATTTTAACGGTTAATAGAAATTTACTTCAAAATATATAACTATTCACACATAATGTATAGCAAATCATTTGCAAGAATATGGGAATAAAAAAGACATGGATTAGAGAAGCAAAATAACGGTCAGACTAGAAAAATGTAAATGTTTGAATCTTTCTCTATATAGCTTTCCAACTCAAAAAGCTTTAAGCCAACCATAAATTATAGCAATTTTCTCCACAAAAATACTATAAATCTATTTACCAAAACGGGCTAATAAGTTTTGAGATCATGCTCTCTATGTAATCAACCTGGGATGAATCAAGTCTCTCTGACTATCCACCAGCATATGGGTGGATGTCGGTGCTGCCTTTTTTGCATCAATGGAAACCACAAACTCTAGAATTCCATTTGCAATCCATGCGGTAAGGTTAGTTGGTGGTCGCTTGCCATATATTTGCAATCAACAAATGGAGGGATTCATATCTACAAAGATTGAGATGTTGCACAGCTAATTTTGTAAGAAACTACTAGATTTTAACCCGCGGTGTTGATTTATTTTTTAAAGTTAGTATTTATAAAATTTTATAAATTATATTTCCTTATAAAATATTTATGGTTTATAGTTTATAATTATTATCAAGTAACGGTATATCACGAGTTCACGGAACAATAATAAACTGATGATTTAACTTGTATTAAAACAGCATGTTAATGATATTTTAAAATTTTATAAATATTGATTCAAACCCGCTCGCCATATAAATCCGTTCCGAAATATACCCGTCCCATAATTTCTTAACCCGTCCCGTGATTTCTTTTCTAAAAGTAGTGATTTTAAAATTTAATGATTTTGTATTATATATAAAGTTTATAAATTGTACCATTCTCTAAGACATTTATATTTTAATAAACTAAGGATTGAATCTGTATTTAAGCAACATGTTAATGATATTTTAAAATTTTATAAATGTTGATTCAAACTCGTCCACCATATAACCCGTCCTGTAATTTCTTAACCCGTCTTGTAATTTGTTTTCTAAAAGTAGTAATTTTAAAAAAACTAACAATTATTTATTATAGATAAAAGTTTGTAAATTGTATAATTTTTAAAGACATTTATATTTTATAGTTTACAATTGTTATTAAGTAGCATTATACCACGGGACAATTTTGATTTTATACAATCTTTTCTAAATGAGACTGATTTGATATGTCTAATATTGGTGGTATTGAAAAAAAATTAAGGATTTCATCCGTATTAAAGCGGCGGATTAATGATATTTTAATCTTTTTATTATTGTTGGTTCAAAAATCCGTCCCGCCAAATCCGTCAAGCCAAAAGACTCATTTATTTTATTAATGTTGGTCTTATTTATGATATGATTCTGAATCATTGTCTAAATATTTTTATCGATGTAAAACGTTGAACACACATTTTCGTCAATTGGATAATATATGTCTGTTTTTAAAATTTCGAATCACAGTATATGCATATATATATATATATATATTTATTTTATGTATTATATGATGATTCAAAACAGTTAAAAATAAATCAAACAAAGATGATAGGAGAATCATAATTCTAAATCTTAATCAAATTTTCTAAATATCTAAATTTTTAAATATGGAATATCCGGTATATGAGTTGGGTTAAATATAACCCGATCCAACAAATTTTTTATGACCAAAATTTGGAAACGGGTCGGTATCCAAATACCCCGGGAGCATTTTTACCTATCTATCACCAAAATGACTGCAAAAAATACTGGTATAAATTAAATTTTACATAGAGAAAATCAGTAAATATATAAATACTTGCATCCAAAGAGTCGATCATAGACAATTAAAATATCACTCCAACGATGCAACAGATTAGACAATCATATGCAGACAATTTGCGAGAGTTCGTTGCGGTCAATGCTAAAATGTGTATAAGGACTTTACATGCGTGACTTATATAACACTACTACACTTTGATCTATCCGGTCTTTTCACGTGAGCATATAGATATCGTATTATTAAAACGCAAAAAATGAAAGTCGAAAAATGTTTGCACGAGCATTACTATCTTAAGATTTTAATCAAACAATAAAATGAGAAAAAAAAAAATCAAACAATAAATATAAAAATATTTTTGTATAGAACAACATAAAGCGTTTTAATTTTGAATGGCACTCCACTTAGCATGAATTTTTGTTGGGTATAAAATCTGGTATCTATTGATACTGAACACATAGCATGGGCTAAATCTAGAACTACTGCAATAGATTGCAATAGATTGCAATAGATGATTCTATGGTAAAGTTGGAAACGAAGTTCACAGCAACTGTGCTGTTTGGGGAAGGTCAGAGGCTCTCTCGTTATCTATTTATCTTAAATAAATAGGCCCTAAACTTAATTAACTAGTTTAAAGAATCATAAATCTCATTAAATGTGTACTTGCCACTAACCCAAAAAAATAAAATTAAGTAAGCTTTACTTACTGTAATAACGACACGTGGCGATCAACGAATCGATAAGAAAAGCACATTTTAGCTATTGTCAAAAATGATAAAGCACGACGACGACAGGTCCCCACAAAACGCATATGATCCAACGGCTGTGATTTACTTTTCCCTACCTCGTAGACTAGACCTTATTTATTTGATTATTTTTTTAAAAATCAAAAAATCAAAAACGCATTTATTCCGATTCCTCTTCTCTCTCTCTCTCCTCGGTCCCCTCTTCACCCCCTAAAGTCTAAACCTCGTCGTCTCATCCTCTTCTTCTTCCTTAATCATCTTCTTCTTCCTTAATAATTTCTCAATCGAGAAATGATTACTGAACCAAGTCTAACCGGGATTTCAGGTACGGTTAACCGGAACCGTTTATCCGGTTTACCCGATCAATCCGCTTCGCATAGCTTCACTCCGGTGACACTATACGACGGTTTCAATTACAATCTCTCCTCCGATCATAGAAACACCGTCGTAGCTCCGTCTCAGAATTCAGTCTTTATTCGGGAAGAAGAAGAAGAAGATCCGGCTGATGATTTCGATTTCTCCGATGCTGTTTTAGGATACATTAGTCAGATGTTGAATGAGGAAGACATGGATGATAAAGTCTGCATGCTTCAAGAGTCTCTGGATCTGGAAACAGCTGAGAGATCGTTATACGAAGCTATTGGTAAGAAGTATCCTCCATCTCCAGAACGAAACTTAGCTTTCGCTGATAGAAACGACGAGAATCTTGACCGTGTGGTTCCAGGAAACTACACTGGAGGTGATTGTATAGGTTTCGGGAACGGTGGAATCAAGCCTTTGAGTGGTGGTTTCACTTTGGATTTTCGAAATCCTTCCTCGGTTCTAAGTGTTCCACAATCTAATGGTTTGATTACTATCTATGGAGATGGAATTGTTGAATCGTCGAAGAAGAGTTTGTATCCTGATTCGAATCGGGAGAGTCATCAATCTGTTTGGTTGTTTAGGAGTGGGATTGAAGAAGCTAGTAGGTTTCTTCCTGAACAAAACATTGTGAATTTCAGAGAGGAGAATTGTATGAACAAAGGAAGGAAAAACTCTAGCCGTGATGAGATTTGTGTGGAAGAAGAGAGGAGTAGTAAATTGCCTGCAGTGTTTGGTGAGGATATTTTGAGGTCAGATGTTGTTGATAAGATCTTGGTTCATGTACCAGGAGAAGAGAGCATGAAGGAGTTTGATGCGTTGCGTGAAGTTTTGAAGAAAGGAGTGGAGAAGAAGAAAGCTTCAGTGGCTCAAGGTGGGAAGAGACGAGAGAGAGGACGAGGACGTGGAAGAGGAGGAGGAGGAGGGCAAAATGGGAAAAAAGAAGTTGTCGATTTGAGAAGTTTATTGATACATTGTGCTCAAGCTGTTGCAGCTGATGATCGTAGATGTGCGGGTCAGTTGTTGAAACAGATTAGACTGCATTCTACGCCGTTTGGTGATGGGAACCAGAGGTTGGCTCATTGTTTTGCTAATGGTCTCGAGGCGAGGTTAGCCGGTACTGGGAGTCAGATTTACAAAGGGATTGTGAGTAAACCGAGATCTGCTGCAGCTGTGTTGAAGGCTCACCAGCTTTTTCTTGCGTGTTGTCCTTTTAGGAAGCTCTCTTATTTCATAACTAATAAGACGATACGCGATCTTGTTGGGAATTCTCAGCGGGTTCATGTTATTGATTTTGGTATTCTTTACGGTTTCCAGTGGCCAACTCTTATTCACCGGTTTTCGATGTATGGATCACCGAAGGTTAGGATCACTGGGATTGAGTTTCCACAGCCCGGGTTTCGTCCAGCACAGCGGGTTGAAGAAACTGGTCAAAGGTTAGCAGCGTATGCCAAACAATTTGGGGTGCCATTTGAGTATAAAGCAATTGCTAAGAAGTGGGATGCAGTTCAACTTGAAGATCTTGATATCGACAGGGATGAGATTACTGTTGTTAATTGCCTGTACCGGGCTGAGAATTTACATGATGAGTCAGTCAAAGTAGAAAGTTGTAGAGACACTGTTCTCAATTTGATCGGGAAGATCAATCCCGATCTTTTCGTCTTTGGCATAGTGAATGGTGCATACAACGCACCGTTTTTCGTGACACGGTTTCGCGAGGCTCTATTTCATTTCTCCTCGATTTTCGACATGCTTGAGACAATTGTGCCACGAGAAGACGAAGAGAGGATGTTCCTTGAGATGGAGGTCTTTGGGAGAGAGGCATTGAATGTGATTGCTTGCGAAGGTTGGGAAAGAGTGGAGAGGCCTGAGACATACAAGCAATGGCACGTCCGGGCTATGAGGTCCGGGTTGGTGCAAGTTCCTTTTGACCCAAACATTATGAAGACATCGCTGCCTAAGGTCCCATCATTCTACCACAAGGACTTTGTGATCGATCAAGATAACCGGT